GTGGTGACAGCATGGGACTGGGGCCAAGATGCAATCTGCTGCCTGCACAGCCCCACAAGGGGCATTGGTTCTGCAGGCAGGGGTGTGTGGGGAGCAAGTCACAGCTCTGCCCCGAACCCCATCCCTGCACTGTCACCACCCTGTGATCCCAGGGTCCCCATGGAGATTGGCCAGGATCCATGTGGGCAGGGCACACGGCCAGGTGGATGGGATGGAGCCACAGGCATACAGGGAGCTGCATTCAGGGTGGGGGCCAGGATCTTGGGGTGGTGACAGCATGGGGCTGGGGCCCAAAGCAGAGCCGAGATTCACTCCCCTCAGGCCCCTGCCAATGGAACTAGCACCCATTGCACGGATGTGCAATCAGTGAATCGCGGTTTGGCCCTGGCCCCATGTTGTCACTGCCACAAGATCCTGCCACATGATCCTGGCCTCACCTACCCATCCTGCTCCTGAACACTGCTACCCACCCACTTGTGGCCCCATCCCACCACCCAGCTGCTCAGGTACCCGTGTGGGTCAAGCCCCTAGTGGTGGGTGTGGGATGGACGGGCCAGGGTTCCTGGACAGTGTGGACAGGTCCGCTGGGAAGTGAGTCTTGCCACTACACTGCCCCAGCCCCACTGTATGGCTGGGGGCAGTGGGACCAGCTGCACATGCCAGAGCCCGAGCTGCCCGACCCTGCATCTGGGCTGGGTGGGACTGAGGGACCAGACAAAATTCCTCAATGGGCCAGTTCAGGCCCACAGGACATATTTTGCCCACCCCTGCTCTATGCATAGGGCAGCATTACACCTTGCTGCCATCTGCAGTTGGGTTCTGAGGGTCAATTAGCGGCAGCACATGATTCTAATCTGTAAGCTCTCTTGCAGCTGATCAACAATAAAAGCACTGGTCTGTCTCACTCTGGATATCATTTACCTTTGAGCAGAGAGAAATAGGTAGCCATATTAGCCTGAAGTCAGGCAGAAAGCAGGGTAGATCTGCACTGTATAAACTTAAATCAGAGATGCATCGCATAAGCGTCCTTAAATAATGGGCCTAGTCCATCAGATGCAGCATCTGATGGGGTAAGCCCACTGCTTATTTCATAGACATTAGGGCTGGAAGGGACCTTGGAAGATCGAGTCCAGCCCCCTGCCCAAAGGGCAGGAAGTCAGCTGGGGTCATAGGATCCCAGCAAGATAAGCATCCAGTTTGCCCTTGAAGGTGTTCAATGTAGGCGCTTGAACCACCTCCAGTGGCAGGCTGTTCCAGACCTTGGGGGCTCGGACAGTAAAGAAATTCTTCCTTATGTCCAGCCTGAAATGGTCTTGCAGTAGTTTAAAACCGTTCGACCTAGTCATCATCCCTTGGGGCGCTCTGGTGAACAAACGTTCCCCCAGATACTGGTGGTCACCCCTGATAAACTTGTAGGTGGCCATCAGATCACCCCTGAGCCTGCGCTTATCCAGGCTAAAGAGCCCCAGGGCTCTCAGCCTGTCATCGTAGGGTCTGCTTCCCTGACCTCTGATCATGCGTGTGGCTCTTCTCTGGACTCTCTCAAACTTCTCCACATCCTTTTGGAATTGTGGAGCCCAAAACTGGACGCAGTACTCCAGCTGCAGCCTCACCAAGGCCGAGTACAAGG